GTGCATACCACCATGTCTGGCTAATTTTTTTTTTTTTTCTTTGAGTTGGAGTCTTACTCTGTCGCCCAGGCTGGAGTGCAGTGGCATGCTCACGGCCACCACAGCCTCAACCTGCTGGTCTCAGTTGATCCTTCTGCCTCAGCCTTCCAAGTAGCTGAAACTACAAGCACACACCACCATGCCCAGCTAATTTTTTTATTGATTGTAGAGATGAGGTGTCACCAAGTTGCCGAGGCTGATATTGAACCCGTAGGCTCAGGCAGTTCCCTCACCTTGGCCTCCCAAAGTGCTGGGATTACAGGTATGAACCACTGCACCTGGCCCCGGCTGATTTTTAAAAAGTTTTTGTAGAGACAAGATCTCACTATGTTGCTAGGCTTATCTCAAACTCCTGGGCTCAAGCAATCCTCCTGTGTTGGTTTCCCTAAATGCTAGATTACAGGCGTGAGCCACTGTGCTCAGCCTTATGGTATATTTTTTATTATGTTTCCCAGAGTATCAGTTTCTTTCAATTTAATTTTCTTTTTGAGTTGGAGTCTCACTCTGTTGCCCAGGCTGGAGTGCAATGACACGCTCATGACCACCGTAGTATCAACCTACTGGGCTCCTTCCGCCTCACATTTCCAAGGAGCTGGAACTCCAGACATGTACCACCATGCCTGCCTAATTTTTGATTTATTGTAGAGATGAGGTCTCGCCAAGTTGCCTAGGCTGATCTCGAACCCGTGGGCTCAGGCAATCCTCTCGCCTCGGCCTCCCAAACTGCTGGGATTATAGAAATGAGCCACTGCACCTGGCCAATTTAAATATTTCTTTTTTTTTTTTTTTTTTGAGTTGGAGTCTCACTCTGTCGCCCAGACTGGAGTGCAGTGGCCGCTCCCGGCCACCGCAGCCTCGACCTGCTGGGCTCCGGCGATCCTTCCGCCTCAGCCTTCCAAGTAGCTGGAATTACAGGCACGCGCTACCACGCCCGGCTGATTTTTTTATTTATTGTAGAGATGAGGTTCGCTGCCCAGGCGGGTCTCGAACCCGCGGGCTCAGGCAATCCACTTACCTCAGCCTCCCAAAGGCTCGGGATTACAGGCTGAGCCACCGAGCCCGGCTCAATTTAAATATTTCTAAAGCAGTACTTGATTCTCCTAATCCTAACATATCCTGTGTGTGAACCTCAGCCCTTTGCAACTAATTCAGTTCCTCTTTGTTGGCAACTGAATTATTTTGATGGGGAAAAACGTCTTGTTAATCCCTGATTTGTTCTTGATTTACATGCACCTTTCAACCTGGCAAGCAACTTTTGGTGAATAAGCATCATTAGAAAAAAAAAGACAGACAGAATATCCAACTCTTATTATTTCTTTACAATCTGCAGACTGCAGATGTTCTGACTTTGATTTTGACTGGGAGCATTGATGCTGACAAGCATTTTTCCATGAGCTAGTCCAAAGTGGTCAGTTTTGTGCGCTGTTGGAATAACCTCATTGCAGTACCCACTACACTAAACAGGGCTGAGGTCACTGAGTCATTTTATTTAATTTAATTTATTTTTAAATTTTTTGAGTTAGAGTCTCACTCTGTTACCCAGACTGGAGTGTAGTGGCACTCTCCAGGCCACCGCAGCCTCGTCCTGCTGGGCTCTGGCGATCCTTCCACCTCAGCCTTCCAAGTAGCTAGAACTACAGGTGCGTGCTACCATGCCCAGCTAGTTTTTTTTTTGGATTTATTGTGGAGATGAGGTCTTGCCAAGTTACCCAGGTGGGTCTCGAACCTGCGAGCTCAGGCAATCCACTTACCTCAGCCTCTCAAAGCGCGGGATTACAGTCTGAGCCACCGAGCCCGGCACTGAGTCATTTTATTACCAGTTTGGATTCTCTAACCCATAACCCAAGAAACCAAGATGGGGAAAATAGCATGAAACTGGCAATCATTTGCACAGCACCTTTTAAAGTAGAGTTTTCATGCCAGGTACGGTGGCTCATGCCTATAATCCCAGCACTTTGCGAAGCCGAAGCAAGAGGATTGCCTGAGCCTATAGGTTCGAGACCACCCTAGGCAACTTGGCGAGACCTCATCTCTACAATAAATCAAAAAATTAACTGGGCATGGTGGCGCATGCCGGTAGTTCCAGCTACATGGAAGGCTGAGACGAAAGGACCACCTGAGCCCAGCAGGTCAAGGCTGCGGTGGCTGTGAGGGTGCCACTGCACTCCAGTCTGAGTTACAGAGTGAGACTCCAACTCGAAAAAAAAACCAAAAAAAAACCAATTAAGGCCATCCTTTGTGTTCCTTTCGGAGTGACTCAGTCAAGACTTGTTCGGCTACTTATCCAAAATATTCTAATCAAAGAGAACATTTTATTGCTTATTTGGAAACAGAATGATATTAAGATAGCATACTTTGTAGTAGTCTACTTTTTAAAAAAAATTTAAACAAAAAACAAAGGGGAAAAATAATTGAAAACAGACTGTGGTTGATATAAGCTTTATGAGAAAGGATCACAGTGGAGCTCCAAGTCTTAGAGGACGTTGCTTATGCACAGTGGAAAACAACCACACTAACTGATGACACCACTCCCATTGCTTTTGCTTGTAAATGCAGATGGCATGCAATAATACTTTTATGAAATCATGTTGTTGAATCAGCGATTAGGCCATGACAGCTTGTAGAAAAGGTCATTTCTTATAACCTTGTAGAAAAGGTCATTTCTTATAACCTTGACTTTAGTACCACCCAAATATAGTTTTCCCCACCAGGACCCAATACTGTTTCAGGGCAGGGCAGCAACTCTAACATGCGCACGTACTCTGATGACTGGTTTCTATTAAAAGGGAACTCAACCCCATGGAAACACCAATGTGCCACCTGGGTTTCTACAGGGCTTCAAGAATCCCAGGCAGGGCAGAGGACGCTTGTTATTCAGGGTGAATGAGTGCTGGACAGAATCTAAGAATAGTGAAAGTCACATTTATTCATAGGACATATTATGAGTTTGTTGCCATCTGACTTTCTGATTTGTAAAACATGAAGGATTTCACAAGCTGGATATGGATTCTGCCATTCCTGCTCTCCTACCCCACCTGTCTACCTATCTAATCTTGCTGCAAGCCTGGTATTTACTCTCTTGTTTTAACAAGGATGTGGGTAATTTTAAATTTCTCTGGCTTTTAGCTTGTGACATTATCATCTTGCTCTGTCTATTTTCTTTTAGGTTTTAGATTTCTGACATCCCAAAAAGGCTTTAGGAACTTTTTTTTTCTCTCTATGCTCCTTCTTTTTGTTTTTTGGGTTTTTTTCCGAGTCACCCAGGCTGGAGTGCAGTAGCACACTGAAGGCCATCCCAGCATCGACCTGCTGGGCTTTGGCGATCCTTCTGTCTCAGCCTTCCAAATAACCAGAACTACAGGTGCACGCTACCATGCCTGGCTCATTTTTGATTTATTATAGAGACAAGGTCTTGCCAAGTTGACCAGGCTGGTCTCGAACCTGCAGGCTCAGGCAATCTACTCGCCTTGGCCTCCCAAAGTGCTGGGATTACAGGCTGAGTCACCGAACCTGGCCTTGCTCCTTCTTTTGTAAAGTGTAGAAAACATTATTCCAAAGCAGTCCCTGAAAGCTTAGGGAGAGAAACAGCCACAAATCTCTTGGGCAATTTATATCTTTGGTTTCTGATGAATCTTAATGATGAGATATGTATCATAATCAACGTTAAGTTCAATAACCTTTTTTATTACCTAAAAATGACAAGCCAAATTGGTTCAACTCTGATCATGATAAAAACACAAATATCATACTAAAATAAATACTAACCAGCAGGGTTGAGACAAGGGTGAGGTGAATGAGGTACTTGCCTTGGGCACAAAGTTTAAGGAGGCATCAAAAAAAAAAACCACAAACCAAAAAAACTCTAATCAAGTTAAATGATATTTTAATGCAATACTTTAAAAAGAAAACAAGTGTGGCTGGGAGCAGTGGCTCATACCTGTAATCCCAGCACTTTGGGAGGCCAAGGCAGGAGGACTGCTTGAGCCCATGAGTTTGAGACCAGCTTAGGCAACACAGTGAGACCTTTTCTCTGCAAAAAATAAAAAGATAGCCAGACATGATGGCGTGCACCTGTAGGTCCCAGCTACTCAGGAGGCTGAGGTGCAAAGATTGCCTGAGTCCAGGCGGTTGAGGCTGCAGTGAGCCATGATTGTGCCAATGCAATCCAGCCTGGGCAACAGAGTGAGACCGCGACTCAAAAAAATAAAAAGAAAAAAGAAAACGAGTGCAAAAAAATTCACGAAGAACAAAATATCAAAAAATGTTAAAGGCAGGATCAGTAACAGTGCCTTGGTGAACCATATTGGAGTTTTGGACAAAAGGAAAAATCAGTAATACCGAGCCTGTCTATTTTTTTGTGTGTGTTGGAGTATCACTCTGTTGCCCAGGCTGGAATGCAGTGGCACACTCATGGCTACCGCAGCCTCGACCTGCTGGGCCCAGGTGATTCTTCTGCCTCAGTCTTCCAAGTAGCTGGAACTACAGGCATGTGCCACCACGCCCGGCTAATTTTTTGATTTATTGTAGAGATGAAGTCTCGCCAAGTTGCCTAGGCTGGTCTCGAACCTGTGAGCTCAGACAGTACTCTCACCTTGGCCTCCCCAAGTGCTAGGATTATAAGCATGAGCCACCGCCCCTGGCCTGATCCTGTCTTTACTTAGCATTTTGATTTTCTTGTTGACCTTATTTGCTCTGCCCTAATCTTGGCCCTGCTATCCAGAACATCAGTGATTAGGGTAAAAAGATGGCATAACCCCTCCTCTAAAAATGTTAACCCAGGGGAGAAAATACATCTGGTTATTTTCAAGTCTCGTTACCATCACTGAGCAACCAGCATCCATGATCTTGGCCGTTAAGTTTGTCTGTGGTCTCAGTTAGAAGGTCTAAAACGTGGAAGAGTTGTCTTTTTGTTAATTCGATCTTAAGGTATCATGTTATCAACAACCATTACATTAAACCCAAAACCCGCTTAGAAAAACACATTTAGTGCAGCTCATCAAAAGTTCCTCCACACACGGTGATTCCCTCTGGCTCTTTCTTTGTTGGCCTTGGTGGGAGGCAGCCTGAGCGGCTTCTTGCGGTATTCCACCTTTGTCCATCCTCCTTCGTTGACTTTGCTCTCTTCTTCGCTGGCTCTCGATTCAGTCTCAGTGTGTAAAGGCATCCCTGGTATCGTCTTGGGTTGGCTGCGGTCATTCGGGCTTCTCTTGAAGTCAGGTGACTGATGAGTATTTAGCGCTGACGGGGAAACCCTGTAGTACTTTCCAGAATACCTTTCTCTAGAAGAATTAGAATGCTGACTTTTCCCATTGTATCTTCCTCTGGGAGAAGAATTGAGCGATACACTACCACGGCCATATTTGTTCCTGCTTCTATCTGAGTATCGACCCCTCTCTGAAGGGCTCTCGGTATTAAGACTGGAAAAGCCACTGTCTTTAGAGTTGAGATGCAGAGAAGTTAAGTTTTTGGTCAGTCCATAGTGAGTAGGGGAGGAACTTCGGGATTGGTTTACAGGTGTAATCTGTTGATACTTGATGGGCGCCTGGGTCCGCTTCACGGCAGCGGCGTAGGAACCCTGGTCACCAAAGTATGGGTAGAAGGGTGACCCCAGAATAGGATTGCTCTGGGAACGCTGTAAAGAAGTGTTGGATGCAATCTGCCGCATCCTCAGAGTGTCTAACCACTGGCAATCAGCACCTGCAGACGAAATGGAAATGCACATCTTTGAAGCCACACTAAAGCTGCATGCCTAATTCATAAACCCATCTTAGGATAATTCAAGGCTGTCTGAGATGTTCTCTGCTTCACCATTCATAGAAATTCTAGGCTAGGTAGAAGGACAGTTCCTTTACTGTCACAAATACTGTTGTTGTTGTTGTTTTTTTTAAAGGTATTTACATTTACTGAATATATGCTATGAGCTTGGCATTGTTCCATGGGCTTCACTTACAGATTAGATCATGTAATCCTCCCAGTAATTTTCTTGGATAAATACTAATGATCTTATTCTAAAAATGAGAAAGCTTGGGAGGTCAAATCACTTGCCCAAGGTCACTCAGTCAGCAATCCCAGGACCTTCTGCATCTAAATTCCCCCTCTTCCTACTTAGTCAGGTTATCACTTCTAGAAATTTCCAGTAAGTATGTTCCAGTAAAGGAACATGTTTAGTCAAGGAGAAGGCTTTTTGCCAATCAATACTTTTAACCCTCAAGGATCCTAAATGCAGATAACATACAAGGCTGAGAAGGTTGGGACAGCTGGAGGTTGTTTGGAAGAAACAGTTCAGGACTCCAGAAGAGAGATTCCTGAGGTTCAGGACTAAGACATGTTTTTTGGTGTACAAAATGAAGCTGCAACACAGGTAGGTAGAAGCTAGGATAGAAGAAAGCGGCTCATCAGTAAGGATAATTTAATAGGCTGTATTTCAGTAGATAAGCTTCTCATACCTAAGATCTTTCCTGTTTTCCCCAGTACCTAAGCTATGTTGCCCATGCTCTCGAGTTCCTGGGTGGCCTCCCTGGCACAGTCTCCTCAGCTGCTTCGGCCCTGCTCGTGCAGACAGAGCTCCTTCTTTTTTTGAATCGGGATCTCACTCTGCCACCCAGGTGGGAGTACAGTGGCATAGTCACAGTTCACTGCTGCCTTGACTTCCCTGGCTCAGGTAATCCTTCTGCCTCAGCCTCCTGAGTAGCTAGGACCATAGGCATACGCCACTATGCCCAGCTAATTTTTTGTAGAGATGAGGTCTCGCTACGTTGCCCAGGCTGGTCTTGGAACTCCTGGATTCAAGTGATTCTCCCACCTTAGACTCCCAAAGTATTTGGATTACAGGTGTGAGCCACCGCACCTGGCCCAGATGGAGCTGCTAAGGGGACCAGAACATGCTCGCTTCCCTGCCTTCCTCAGTGCCTGGTCACAGGGGAGTCACAGCTCTGAGGTGGGTGGCTCATTCAGAAACAGGTGACCTGTGTCCAGGCACTCCTCACAGGCTTCCACCAGTCACTATGCCTTCTTTTGTTGCTGCTATGTGGATTTTATTGTGGTTATAAAACACATTATTATTATTATTATTTTTTGAGTCGGAGTCTCACTCTGTTGCCCAGACTGGAGTGCAGTGGCCGCTCCCGGCCACCGCAGCCTCGACCTGCTGGGCTCCGGCGAACCTTCCGCCGCAGCCTTCCAAGTAGCTGGAACTATAGGCTAATTTTTTGATTTATTGTAGAGATGCGGTCTCGCCAAGTTGCACACATAATGTTAAATTTACCATCTTAACCATTTTTCAGCATGCAGTTCAGTAGTGTTGTTGCACAGCTGATCTCTGTAGTTGTATCATCTTGCAACACTGGAACTCTGTACCCACTAAACACCACTTCCCCTCCCTGCTTCTCTCTTCTCCCACCCCTGGCCAACCACCTCTCTACTTCCTGTTTCTATGATTTTTGGCGACTTTAGAAGCTTCACGTGAGCGCAGTCATACAGAATCCCAGGGCCTTCTTTCCTTCACCATTGACGTCTCTGGAATTTTAGCTTCCAACAGAGCCCTGACTCTGGGATCCAATCCCCTTCACATGGACACACACGTCAGGGGGAGCTGACCATGTCATCTATAGTAACTATCTGGAAGCTGACTTTGATTCGTCTAAGCTGGATGGACTGACGCCATGTTTAGGAGGGATGACTTGCTCATTTCCGGCCAAAGCAGAATTGGTGAGGAGGAGTCTGCTGGGGGTTTCCAGGAAAGTTTTCCTTAGTTCTACACATAAGAACAATTAGGGACCTGGCCCCGTTTCCTCTGGGCATTGCCACTTCTTTCTGTGATGACTGTAAATATGAGAGGAAATGGGCTGGGGAGCAAGGTAACGTAGGGAGCATGCAGAGTGGGAAGAAGGAAAGGTTCCTTCCTGGATCCTTACACTGAGGAGGTGGGGGCGGTCCTACCGCTGGACTTCCTGTTATGGAAGATAATACATTTGATGCACTTTACACCAGTGATTTGAGGACTTTGGATCACTAGGAGGGCTTCTTACATGCAGATTGCTGGTCCTACACCCAGAGTTTCTGATTCAGTAGGTCTGGGGGTGGGCCTGAGAATTTGCATTTCTATTTTTTTCATAAACACATATATATTAGTTTTATTATAAAGAATCAGTTCACACAATTATGGAGGCTGAGAAGTTCCACAATCTGCTGTCTACAGGCTAGAGATTCCACAAGGCTGATGGTATAAACTTCAGTTCAATTCCAAAGGCCCGAGAACCAGGAGTGCCAGTGGCATAAGTCTCAGTCCAAGGTCAGGAGAAGACAGATGCCTCAGCTCAATTCAAACTTCCGCCACCTTTTTGTTCTATTCAGGCCCTCTCAGGATTGTATGCTCACCAACATCCTGAAGGGCAGTCTGATTTACTCATTTTACCAATTTAAATGCTAGAAGATTTGCATGCCTAGCAAGTTCACAGGTGAGCCTGGTGCTGCTGGTTCTGGGACCACACTTTAAGAACCAGTGGAGTAGGCCAGTTGAACACGGGTTTTCTGCTACTTGGAGTGGAAAGATAGATTTTTTTTTTTTTTAGTTGGAGTCTCACTCTGTCACCCAGACTGGAGTGCAGTGGCCGCTACTGGCCACTGCAGCTTCGACCTGCTGGGTTCCAGCGATCCTTCTGCCTCAGCCTTCCAAGTAACTGGAACTACACGTGCGCGCTACCACGCCCAGCTCATTTTTGATTTATTGTAGAGATGAGGTCTCGCCAAGTTGCCCAGGCGGGTCTCGAACCCACGGGCTCAGGCAATCTACTCACCTCAGCTTCCCAAGGCAAGGGATTACAGGCTGAGCCACCGAGCCCGGCTGGAAAGATAGATCTTAACTCATCCAAGAGGCATCCTCTGAGTCTTCACATTATGTTGGAAAAAAGAATACAAGGAGGAAGGAACAAAGGCAAACTAGTCCAAACCAGAGGAAGCCCAAAAACCCTGTAACCTTTCACGTTAATAATTAGAGGGGAAAAGTTTATCTGGAGCAATTCCAGAAGGAGATAGAAGGGTACTGATTATGCCTATGTACACTCAGAGAGTAACTTGCTTTCTCCTAAACGTTTTATGGTTAAGGGAAGGAAGTAGGGGACACCTATTAGATGTCTGCCCACTGCCTTCTTTTGGGAATGTTACAACCCTGTTTCTGTCCACATAGTTTCAATATGTTGGACAGGATGAACTCACCACACAACCCACCCTGTGGATGCAGCTAGCTCATGGGTCCATGAAAGAATGCTGGGAAAAATAGCACCAACAAGTCTTATCCCAGGAAATCTGGAATTGGGGACTGGTAAAGTGTCCATTTGGTGACTCTCAAAGTGGTAGGATTTGAACTATGCAAAACTTGGAAGCTGTTGGCAGCCATTTTGTATCATGTGGGTAGGGAAGTGGAGAAAACCAGCTTTTTTTTTTTTTTTGAGTTGGAGTCTCACTCGGTTACCCAGACTGGAGTGCAGTGGCAGCTCCCAGCCACCGCAGCCTCGACCTGCTGGGCTCCGGCAATCCTTCCGCCTCAGCCTTCCAAGGAACTGGAACTACAGGCGTGTGCTACCACGCCCGGCTAATTTTTTTTTTTTTATTTATTGTAGAGATG